TTAGGATTTATTTCATCATTTATTTATATTAATTCCCCGACTAGTATTTTGATACTAGTTGGTTAATCTTAGAACATGCCAAGTTCCTATTTTCCAATTGACATTTCATTTCAATTGATTTTCCAACCCAAGTATAGTTTGATCCCAATATCAAAATATCACTTTAATCCATTCATGAATTTCATACATGAAGTAAAGTATATTTTATCACAATGTCATCATAGTAATTCCATTAACATGCCGTTCCATTCATTTCACATAATCATACACAATTATTCTAAATTTGTATATCATGCTTCACTTACTCATATCAATATTATTTTCATTTAGGCATTATTAATCATTAATAATCCATGAAAATCCCATTTAATTACCTTAGGCAATCTTATGAAATTAACTCACTAATTATAAGCAATATAGTCAGTCATCCTCACCTTATGATGTGCTCAACTAGATGCCTTTACGAAGCCCTTCGATAAATCCCCGTTTTTGGCCGATTGAAACAAGAATTCTGGGCAGTAGCTGAAAGCCGCCCGGCTTTCGCCATAAGTCGCCCGGCGTTCGTGTGCTGCAGGTTCGAGCAGCCTGCTATACTTAGCGGTTTCCGGCGATTTCGACTCCTATCGATTCACCAACACTTCTAAGTTAAATTACCACCACTTTATATCAATATTATACACTTTTAAACGTGTAGAACTCGTGGTTTAATCCACCATATGATTTCTTAAAAATCATACAACATAAACTAGTTAAAAGAAATGCTTAATGAGTTCTTACCCAACTCCTAGCTCTTCCCTCTTGGATTCTCCTTTACTTCTTGGTTCTTCAAGATATGGTTGATGTGAGGGACTCTCTTGGAGCTTCCTACCCCTCCTGCTTTGGTTATACGGATGATACTTAGGGGAGGAGTATCTTCCTTCAATCAAAGGCAAAATAATGCCAATGATAGGACATAGGGGTGTGGCTTGCCTTGAGCCATCCCTTCCACTTAATAATCCCCCCCCCCCCCCCTTCACTATTTCTTGTCTCATCCAGCCCTCACCTGTCTGCTAGAGATCATAAAAATGTGGGGTGGCCCCCACTCATGTGGGAGGTCATCCCATTGTGTCCCTGCGTGTATAATCGACCCCGAAAGTTGTATTTTTCGGACTATTTTAGTCATATTTTATTTTATCAGGCCGGATAAAATATATCACGCATTCCTAATAATTATGGGCCTTTAGAATTGATGTACATTCCCCAACATTAATTTAGGAGCCTCCGAAACTCATTTCGGGCTGTTATTCGCTAAATTATCAATACCGGTAATTGGGCCTCATTTGACCCACCCGTCAACTCCATGCCCTTCTCATGACCCAAATGAAATATCCACCACCGTATAGATGTCACCTTGACCAAGATGAATATAATATGTGGTTCGGGAATTATCAGGCGGTCCCCGTTCCCGCTGTGGGCCCCACATGCAATTTACTATTCACGTAAAAGAAATAATTAAATTTAACAATTACGTAAATTCGTAAATCATCTTTCAAAGTCTATTACATAATTTACTAAAAGTAAACATGCTTGGGGACGGTGTCACATTCTTGGCAATTGGGCTACGTACACGGATGTTGACCCCAAGGTCCGTGAACTTTGGTGGAACCTGTTCAAGGTAAACAAAATGAATCTTCCTTGCGTAATTGCATTGACTTAAAATTTGACAAATGATAAATTAATTTATTTTTTTAATAAAGGGCCGGTTTCGCTGGACTGAAGAACAAGGCCCCGCTATTCTAAGGGCGTATAACGCCAGAATTTCAAACTGGTTTCGTCCCACTTTTAAGCGTGCCCGAACCAGTGGGGTAAGGCCTCAATGGTGTTCGGATGAGGTGTGGGAAAACCTCGTCCACCACTGGTCTTCGGATTCGACCTTCTTGGCTAGAAGCGAAGCCGGGAAGAAAAATCGGATGTCCGAGAAGGCATTAACGACACAATGGCACGGAGGCCGTAAACCTCAAAGTAAACATAAGGAAGCACTTGTAAGTCTTATTCAAATAAACCTTACATCATTTTAACCCTTAATTTTTTACATTTATTTATGGATTTTAAGCCTTTATCGAACCATGTAGGCGGGGCCTCAGAAGAAGAGGGTCTCTATCCTCAAGGTCATCAAACACTGTTGGACGAATAACGGTGATCAGTCGGAAGCCGATCTGCCACCCCGCCTTGCTGAAATCGAAGTACGTAACATCAATTTTATTATTTCAAATCAAAGTAAATATCATTTCAATAATTTTTGTACATACTTGTAGACGAAGTATAATGAAAATGTTGAGAAGAAGTGGGCGGAATTAGGCTTGACCCAGGAGGATGAGATCGATTCTGATGTGGAAGATGATGCGATCCTTGAGGCAGCTGGGGTGTACAAGGGTCGGCTTCCATGCTTGGGGGCTGAGGGGCAACGGATTTTGTTGGACCGCAGGGGCAGCGGAGCCTCATCATCTTCTTGCTCAAGGCGGGGAGAGGATCCACGCATCGCCCAATTGCAACGAGAATTGGAGGAGCATCAGCGGGCGTTGGAACAACAACGGAAGAAGGATGAAGAAACAAGGGCCCGGATGGAAGCGATGGAACGGATTGTTGCCGGATATCAGCCTCCGCCCCAGCCTCTTCCTCGGCCGTACATGTTGCACGTTGAGCAGACTCCTCAAGTTCCGCAAATGGGTCATATGAGTTATCATTCTAGCTCCGGATATGGTAGCATGCCTGCAATGGGGTCGACATTCGGATCTCTATCGTCTGATTTCTTAAATCAATTTCAGTCATCCGGAGGAGGCAGTCGAGGAGGCGACCGAGGAAGCAACCGAGGTGGCAGCCAAAGAGGCAGCCGAGGAGGTGGCCGACCCTTAGACCCCGTGGATGCTGAAGAGGATCATCATCTTGATTATGATGATAATGATGCATATAATAATGATGATCCTAATTTTTATCATAATGGAGTCCGACGGCTGAGCATGTAATAATATTTCAGTCTGTAATAATATTTTTTATGTTTAACATTGTATGGATTTTGTTTTTCATTTAATGTTCTAATAAATGCTCTAAAGAAAAATTAAAATAACTTTTAATTAAATATTTTTTAAAATGGAAAAACTTTTTTTTAAAAAAAACAATAACTTTAGTCACGGACTAAATCCGTGACTATTTTTTTTTGTCCCGAACGATTTTACAAATTCAAAATTTATTTTTTTTTTTAAAAAAAAGAGTCACGGATACATGTTCGTGACTAATACAAAATTTTGAAAATGTAAACCGCGGGCTTTTAAAAATTCGAAAATTTCAAAACTTAGTCACGGATTAGTGCGTGACTAAAATGGCCGAATTTTAAAAACAAAAAAATCTTAGTCACGGATTGGTCCGTGACTAAAATAAAAAAATTTAAATTAAAGGTAGTCACGGGCCATGTCTTTGACTACCGTGCCGGAGTAGCAATTCCGGTCAAGAATTAGTCACGGACCTGTTCCGTGACTACACTTAGTCACGGCCAGATTTCAGTGACTACATTGTAGTCACGCGGAATTAGTCACGGCCGTAGTCACGGACAAAATCCGCGACTAACTTTGTTAGTCACGGATTTTTTACACTGCGGTCCGTGACTAAGTCCGTGACTACAGGCGAATTTTTTTGTAGTGGGTATGAAGTGTGGCACAAATTATACCGTGGGATCGGTCCACCATCTTATGGTGTACCGATCCCAAAATGATACCGTTCTTTCTCAAAAAAATTACAAAGCCTTCCATGCCCTCTTCAATTGCTTCACTGCGGTCCGTGACTAAGTCCGCGACTACAGACGAATTTTTTTGTAGTGGGTATGAAGTGCGGCGCAAATTATACCGTGGGATCGGTCCACCATCTTATGGTGTACCGGTCCCAAAATGATACCGTTCTTTCACAAAAAAATTACAAAGCCTTCCATGCCCTCTTCAATTGCTTCTTCATTTACTCTACATTTGCTTCGTTCCCTGTTTTATCACGCTTCGTCTGGTCGCAGGTAGTCTTCCAGAACTACCGTCGGAGATGGCCTCCGGTCTGCCGTCGCAGATGGGGATCCAGGTGCTTCGTTCCTGTCTTTGTCGTGTTTGAGCGCACTAAATTCGCATCTCCGTTGTCCGTCTCCTACTCTCCTAGATTTGTCTAGTTGAAGGCTCCCAAGTGTGAATCTGGATTTCATCTCTGTCGCAAATTTGTTTCCTAGATTTCCATGAATTTAATTTAGACTCTTGGGTGTCTATATGACTAAATTAATTTAGATGCTTGGGTCTCTCGATTTTCCTTCGTATCTACGTTTTGAATATGAAAGTTCTAATTCTAATGAAGAAGACTCACCGTCGTTACATGTTGAAGATGACTGCTATGAATAATATTAGACCTCACCAGGTTACATCTTACCCACACTCAAGTTACACCAGCATTTGCCTAAAGTTACATATCTATTAGTGTGAGTTACATGCCAACTTTTTTCATCAAGTTACACCTCGCTTCATGTAATTTACATTTTCCGTAATTTGAGTTACATAAAAAAATAAACCCCTCTTATTGAAACAAAAAATTAATTTTTTTTAAAAAATATTTTTTATGGTCATGATACTGAAAATAAAACATATTTACAATTTACCTAAAACAATTGTGCAATTAGACTCTTTTTTTTCATTATTTACATTGAAATCAATATTTTATTTCTTATACTATGTATTTGACAAGTTTCATTTTGAACAGGCTTGAGTTACATTGATCAATAACGGAAGTTACATATCTTTATACACGAGTTACACCATTCATGCTATTGAGACAAAAAGAAAGAAAAATAGCCACCGTACATACTATTTTTTACGATTTTTTTTTTTAAATTGTACCTTACATCTTTTTGTGGAGTGGAGCACCAATGTGGTTACCGGTTGATTACCTGTTAATAAGCTAATTTGGCTACTTTTTAACACTTTATGGCCTAATTGATTCATTTCATTTTGAAGTATAAGAACTGAACCTATTTTACGGTTTTCCTTTTTTTTTCAATCACTTTCTCGTGAGCAGAACTACTCTGCAGAAAGAACTCAAACACTCCCATGTCCAAAGTCCCAGGCGGCGGCCAGGCCAGAGTCATTCACAGGACGGACACTGGTACAAAACTACGAGTCTAATTTCACTGGCGATTTGCAGTCACCACGAGCGGTGGTAAGCTCTTCTTCTTCTAGCCAATCTCCCATTAACAATTGTAATTTCTTAACTTTTTCCTGATTTTTTTGTTAGGGGATTATTGAATTGTGTTTTAAGGGTTTTTTCAATCCATGTTCAGAATACTTCATGGACAATTATAATTTGTTGTATTCTACTGTATTAAATACTACACGATTGATTCAATGGATGATTGGCAATTGGTAAAAGTCTTTTTTTCAAGATCTGCACTAAAAAAATATTTTACCTTCCTTGCGATTGACAAACCTGGGGCTACGTAGATCAAAACGATTGGAACAATAAATTTTGTATATAATTTTGTAGAATTACTTAAGCACCAATACTTGGTGCTCTGTAAAATCAATTTGTTTCTATGAAAAGTTTGAGTTCTGTCTTTGCATTAAGAATATTTCCACCAATTTGTGTCACTTTATCCTCCTAATTGTATATTGGAATTTGGATGCCTTGCACCATAATTCGACTAATAAGTTACTCTTCAATATTCCCTCCCTATCACCTCTTGTATTCCTTTTTGGGTTGCATCAAATTAGTTGTCACATTTCATTTTGGGAAAAAAATATACCCTAAAAGCAGCTAGAGACTAGAGTATAAAAAAACTATGTGAAAAGCTTATTATCTTAAACTATGAGTGTACTTTGTAAAGTTGCAGTGTACCCACAATATTATACGGAGTATTAAACTATGTGAAAAGCTTATTGTGACCATTCAAATGATACGGAGGGAGTACTGGAGTAGTATTTTCTCCTCATAAAAAACTATTTTTGTAATTTTTTTTTCATTTGAAACAAGTGAGAATTGAGAAAAAACATAGATAGAAATTGGAATGCTTCCTTCAATATTACTAATGAAAGGGTTGTAAAAGGTAAAGAATATGATGAATCTGTGAATTTCATGATTGTTGGAGATAATGAGATATTGTATGTTGAAAATCCTTACTCGTATGATTTATCAATACATAGTTATATTTTTATAATTATTATGTGTTGCCCTGTGTTTCATTTCCTGTGTGTTCTGATTCCATGCCACTTTGGTAGTTTGAACAAAATTTACCAACTTGTCTGACATAAAGTCTTTACAACAACAACAACATCCAAGCCTTAATCCCAAAATATTTTGGGATTGGCTAACATGAATTGATCCATGATATCAGAGTCAAAAGAGAAGAAAGAACAATAAAAAATACAGTAAGATAAATTGGATAAGATAAAGATAAATGTAAAATAACAATAACATAAGAACCTAAGAAAGATATAAGATTTCATTTCATTTTCATTTACCCCAGTGCCGCAAAGGCTCCCACCTACGGTGGGGTAAGGGGGGTCGGATGTACGCAATCTTACCCCTGTACTAAAGCACAGAGAGACTGTTTCCGGATGACCCATAGTGAAAATCCCGTCCAAAATTGCATGGACTGACTGCTGCTTCATAACAAAGAAGCGCAAACAGTTTAGTGAGCCATTTTGCTTTATTCCATCATAATCTCAAGCCAAAAAATAATGAATCTTTGGCTCCATTGCAAATGATGGAAGAAGAAAGATATAAGATAAAAAGATAAAAGAGCATAAGAAAGATAAAAGATAAAAATAACATAAGAATATAGAAAGATAACGATGATAAACGATAAAAGATAAAGGGGAGAAAGAAAAGATAGAAAAGAGATCAATCGGTTAGACGAATGTGTGCTCTCCATTTTGCTCTCTCCAAAACCATACTCTCTCCAAAACCATACTCTCATCCAACCCAAGAAAACGCATACCAGTTCTGACACCTCTAATCCAAGTCTGTTTGGGTTTTCCTCTTCCTTTCCTCCCGCCTCTTCTCCCCGCCTCTCAAGTCGTCTAAATATACTCAACTCTATTTTTTTTCTTCAAATTTAACGCAAATCGTTTCACTCAGATAAATTTGAGTAAATTATACCTCTCTGAAAAATTTTCTGACCCTTTTTGTCTGTATATCATTTTCTTTTATTTGTACTTCTTGCTTGTCCCAGCTTCTTTTTAAATAATAGAAATGTATTGCTAGTTATAAATATCCTACTTTTTTTTAATCCCCACTCACCCTTCAAATCTTTCATTCTCTTTCTCTTTTCATACTCTATTTACTATTGCTAATATAGTATTCTTAAGTTCTGTCGTATAAAAAAGCCTAAAAGCTGACTAGCCTAATGGGCTTGGACCCTTGGCTCGCTCTCCTTTAATTCTTCCAGTAATCATAAAATACAAACTTTTATTTTCCTGAGTTTACCGCTGATGGTGCATAGAAGATACGTTTTTAATTTGACTTACAATATTTAAATATATTGTGTTCAACTGTTCAAGGTAAAATGAGTGACGTGAGTATACTGAATGAATAATCACTGTTTGCCTTTGTGTGACGTACTGTGTATTAAGTATTTTCCACCTTGAGTGTCAGCAGGTGTCACAATGTCTTCTTCGTTCTTTACAGTTCAATATCGACCGAATGGAAGCACTCATGTCTCAAACTTTCTCAGTTGGAAAGGATGAATTGTTTGAACGATCGTATGTATTCGTAGAAGGCTCTCTTACCACCATAAAGTTGAGTAATAGTCACCACCCTACTTGGAAATCTTTAAAGCATGGAGAAAGATTGTGGCCTTCTCGTAAAACTAGGTAACTATGGGTTTAAATTTGTTCATTTGTTTGTTTGATGCTTCATGGTTTGGGACATCATAGTTGTGCTTGGTTTGTCCATTTGTCCACCCATTCAGTTGCCCAGCCTGTTTTGGGGTGAGACGTGTTAGGTCAGTGTCTCACATTAGAAGTTTACTGAGTTGAAGAGTAATCCGTAGTATATCATTGTGAGGTAAACATCACATCTAGTAGATTATTTTGTAGCGACTTAGGCACAATTTAATAATTGGTATCGTTGTTATTTTGAACTGTTACGTGAATTGGTTTGTGCACTATAGCAATCAACTGCAACAGTATGTTTTGGACAGTCCATGGACCAGACGACGTGATACAAGTGTAGTATTTGCTCTGGATATGGGCAGAGTGCCTAGTAATGGTGACAGCCGTGGTTTAGGTGGAACTCGTTTAGGAAGGATAGTGGGTGCAGGAGGTCAACAGCTTCTGGCAAAACTTAATTCGGCTAGGAAAAATTTTCCAGTGAAGATATTTCTGCTTCTCCTGGGTTTCTACACAGCAAATGCATTGGCGACAATCCTAGGACAAACAGGGGATTGGGATGTATTGGTAGCAGCAATTGTTGTTGCTGTGATTGAGGGGATCGGAATGCTAATGTACAGAAAACCTTCGTCTTCTCTTCTTACTGGGAGACTGCAATCTCTGGTAGGGATGGTTAACTATTGGAAAGCAGGTGTTTGCTTGGGCCTTTTTGTAGATGCTTTCAAGTTAGGCAGTTGATTCATTCCCCTGTGACATTTTCTTTTTGTAAATGAGCCCTTTAATCATTGTTTGTAGCCCTAATCTCTCTCTCTCTCTCTCTCTTGTTTGCCTTTCACCAGCTGAGCTAGTATAGAGGAAAGCTTCAAACCTCTTACCTCTTTTAAGGGTAAACAAAAGAATACTAATTTGAATTAAATTCACCCATGCAGCAAGGAAAAGTGGTTAATCCAGACAGGCGTGAACCCCCGCCCCCTGCAATTTCAAATGCAAAAACAATAGTGGGTGGAAACTTGTAAAGTGGCCACTGGCCAGACTTCATAGAGTAATTGGACAAGAGTCCAATTACTTGGGGTTTTTTTGGTGTGGGGTTTTAGAGGACAGGGAAGGTGACGGAAATGCTTTCCCTTTACTTGGAGGAAAAACTGGGAGGGGGGTTGTTTATATTTTGCATCATCTTAGCTTCACTTTCTATCCCTTCAAGTCTCCAGCCCTGAGTTCATTTTTAAGAGGGATGCTAAATATAGCTTATGGTTCACACCCTCTTCATTTTTAAGAGGGATGCTAAATATAGCTTATGGTTCATTTTTGGTGTGGTTCATTTATTTATTTATTTATTTATTTATTTAGTTAGTTATTTATTTATTTATTTATTTATACGGGACGCCAATCTCTTTGGGATGAACAAAAAAGGAAAGATAGGACAGTTTTAGTGGGATGTAGGGAGGATTATTTGAACAGTATCTAAAGCTTCTTATTTGTATGTTTCACACAACAATTTTTAGAAGCTCTTTTAAAATTTAATACGAAGTACTATCATACTTCATATCTCGTGTGAAAAAGTCTGTAATTTTTAACATTAATTAATGACAATAACTTGTCATACTAAACAAAACTATACCAAATCGATCGTTTTCTATACTTTGAAACGTTCGTTACTAAATGGCGTATAGAGATGTGGCGATATAGACAAATGAAATGGTTAAACTCATAAGTCATAAATGGTAAGTGGTAAAGTACTTTCTAGATTTTTAAAAGGGTAACAAGGATTCAAGGAAGGGCAATCTACGATGCCAGCAAATTACTCTTTGCAAATCTGGTAAGGGGGTTGCTTAGTGCTTGCTAGGGGTGGACTCGGGCCGGGCCAACCGGCCTGGAACCGGACCGGCCCGCCACTGTGCGGGCCCGGTCCGGCCCGCCACTGTCCGGGCCCGGTCCGGCCCGGGAACCGGTTCGTTGGGCGGTTCGGGCCACCCGGCCCGGTGGATTCTCAGTTCGGGCTCGGGCCCTTCAAAAGGTGAACCGGCCCGGCTGGTTCGGGCCCGTGCCGGGCCAATTTTATTTTTTATGTTTTGAATTTTTTTTGAGTTTTTGGGTTGGGCTGGTTATTTTGGGCCATTTGAGGTGGTTAGGGTTGGTTTGGGGGTGAGGGGGAGGGGTGGGGGTTAACTAGGAAAAGCCCAAAAAAAAAATATACCCGAGGCCTGGCCCGGCCCGAACCCGGGGGTTACCCGGGCTGGTTCCGGGCCTCCCCTTCTTGAACCGAGGCCCGGCCGGGCCCAGGCCCAGGCCCGAACCGGGCCCGAACCGGGCCCGAACCGGCCCGAGTCCACTCCTAGTGCTTGCTGAGTGACTTCAAGTTCAGATGCCAAAATCTCAATTTAAACTTATTATTATAGCACACTAAATAAGACTCTAAGTGACATATACTTAAAAAAAGAATTCAAAATAACAAAACATGTTTTTATTGCCAAATAGGAATAATTATTGTCATGTTTTCATATTATCAGACTTTAAACACGACAGTATTTTAATTTCCAAATTTGACAGTAACGTAATTACCCCTTTAGAATTCCAAAATGTTTTTACTCCTATTTGTATCGCAAAACTAAATGGTAAACTCATTAATATTATCTTTTGATTAACATGTCGACTCATATATCCAAATGTATTTAATCCTTCATATTATTTCTCAGTTTTAGATAATAATAATAATAATAATAATAAGAGTTGATCATATGTGTTGGTTATTTTGTAATTTGTAATACTTTATCTACTATAGATCAAAATATTTGCATACTACATGTCTAGTAATTTAGATTGTTATTTCAGTACATGTTATCAAAGTTCAAGTGTTTTTCCAAACGCCAACTTTTGTTTCTAATTTGAGAACTAAAGTATGCTACAATGCTGAAAGTGTATCTATGCATGTGTGCAATTTCGCGACACTGTTACACACTTGAAATGTTTATTACCTTACTGTTTATTCACTTCAAGTCGGATATATCAGTTCTTGAATTGAACCTTACCTGCCCTGTTTGAAATAAGTCAAATCGATCCGAGTTCCGATTCCTTTGGTAAAAAGTAAATATTGCTACACAAGTAAAGTAGTTAGTAAGTTACAACCTTCTCAAACTAAATACTTCGTAAAAAACAATGCATGTCCCCATAATATAATAAAAATATATGAAATCAATCAATCCGGTAATCATTGGGATAATAGCCATCAAACACAATAAATATGTTAAGACTTAGAGTTTCATCCTAAAAGGTCAACCTAATAGGAGGAGTAGCTCATGTCTTAATATAGCACTACGTTGATTCAAACTTTTCCGGTGTGGGATTCTAACACCCACTACAAAAAAACTCGTTATAGGCACGGTTTGTTGGCACGGAAACGTTCCGTACCTAATTTGGCTCGGTTGTTGGCTCGCAACAGCTAAACCTCGGGTTTTGGCGCGGAAAAGTTGACGTCAAATGAAATTTCGGGTTTGGCGCGGAATTTTCGTGCCAAAGACCGCCCCAAAGACGAAAAAACCAAAAAACTTGGGATAGGAAACGGATCCGATCCAAAATCCGTGTCTAATTGGGTCGGTTACGGAATCGAGACAAGAATCCGAGACAAAATCCGTTCCACAACCGGAAAAATCATAAAGTCAGATGAAATATAGTATGGCAGGGAACATATTTGTGCCAATATCTTCCTTGACAACATCCGTGCCAAAAAGTATCCGTTGTTACTTTCGAAAATTCCGCTTCCAAATGTAGCCGTTGATTTCCGAGACATACTCCGTCCCAAAAGTACCCGTTATCTACGGACATTTTGAAATTCCGTGCCAAAAACCTTGCCAAATACCTTGCCAAAAAAATCTATGTATAGAACACATCTTATTAGGGCATCCTCATTGGGAGGATTATTATGAGATTAAATTGGTGTCATGGTTGTTTTTTTAGAGAATTATCATTGAGTGACATAGATTGTTTAATGGGATTATTTGCTACAATAATCTGGGATCAAAATATGAATCTCGATTATTTTAAGATTATTTGAAAAGTATATGTAATAGAAATTAATGCAGGACGGAGAAAAAACAGATTATTTGAAGATGATTGAGAGACATAAATGAATTTTGAGATTATTTTATAATTAATCACATGACAATATTTAAATTGTAAGAATCATACAAAAATGATTATTAGAGATTATGAATGGAGATACTCTTATGTATTCATTCATTACATTCTTATTAATAAATGCTGATGAATTTCCAAGAACATGGAAAGTGGTATTATTTTCTATTTTCCATGTGGTTGAAGTATTTATATTTGGATTTCTTACAAATATGAACAAAAGCATGCAAGAAAGCTGTTTACCAAGTGATGGTTGAACAAAAGCAAAAAATATTGGAATGACTTATTCAACTGCGATTTCCAGATGGATACACATCCAACTTCCACAGAATTGTTGACTTAGAGAAATTGTGCATGAAAAATATGAAGATTCATGATTGTCACGTAATCATGCAATGTTTACTCTCAGTTGCTCTGAAGGAAAATATTCCGGATCATGTATTGCTGATGTTTCATAAATTTTTCAGTTAATATGTTCGCCTGTACTAAACAAGAAATCGCTTGATGACCTCCACCGCAACCTCCCCACTATAATGTGTAATCTCGAATAAGTGTGTCCTCCAACTTTTTTTGATGGAATGGAGTATCTACTTATCCATCTTCCATGGGAAGCTAAAAGGGGAGGTCTGACTTTTTATAGATGGATGTACAACTTTGAGAGGTAGATATTTTTAACATTTTTTAAAATATTTTATACAATATTTATTACGAGATAATTACATTTGTTCTACACATCCAAGTTTTTGCAGGGAACAGGAAAAAAAGTGACAAATAAAGCTCATGTCGGAGCTTCTATCTGCCAAGCATACCTCACAGAAGAAGTTTCTACATTCTCTTCTTCCTATTTTGAAAGAGATGTCATTACCAAACGAAAAAGACCTGCTAGAAATGATGACATTGATGAGGTAATGTAAGAGCAAATGGTGTCAATTTTCAACTATCCCGACAAAGGTTATGGTAGACGAACACATCGTCATGTTGTCGAAGATGAGTTCCGAATTGCACACACCTACATTCTGGTGAACTGTCCTGAAGTTCTTCCGTATTACAAGTAAGTGCACTTATTATAAACAATGTATTTATTATTCATTAAGTTTTTCGTAATATATACTCCCTCCGTTCTTAAATATGAGTCCTCTTAGGCTTTGGCACGGCTTTTAAGAGAAAAATAATAGGGGTAGTGTAAAAGGTGTAGTGGGTTGTGGGTAAATGAAAAAGTAGGAAAGAGGAAGGGGTAATGGTAATAAAAGGTATTTTTATTGAAAAAACTTACCAAAAATAGAAAGAGGGACAAATAATTAAAAACGTCCCAAAAAGGAATGCGAGATAGTTAATAAAGAATAAAGGGAGTATATATATAATCTACAATGTAGTGAGTTCAGAGAATACCTTACCAGTTCCGGTTACGAGAACGACGAGATTGATGATTTCATCGACACTGAGTTTGCAGGATGGTTCAAGCAGACGGTACAACATTACACTATTTGACAAAATACAATATTTGTCCGACATTTTTTTAATTCGCTAATTATGACATTTTCCGCAGATACTGCATGAAGCTAGCACAAGGACTGTGAATCCTTTTTTGGAGTCATTAGCATGGGGTCCCGAAACTTTAGTGAAATGCTGGTCTATCTATTTTATCAAACACAACTTACTCGATGTGAATCATGCACGAGTATATCAGAAAAATGAGCCATTCATTTTAGCTCAACAAGCTGCCCAAGTTTATTACGCAGAATATCCGACAACAAAGCAGAGAATATCTCCTTGGATTTGCGCATGCACTATTA